AGGAACAGTTCCTGTTTGTGAAGTTGGGGAAAGTCAGCTTTGGCCATCCCCACACAGTCCGTGCTCTTATTACAGTTGCTCTGCTGGGATCTTTGCATTGGCAACACAGTTCCTTACTACTAAGCCAGCAGTGTTCCCTAATAGCCATAGTTCATTATAAAAACAAAAATAGTTTTTGTAAAGCCAGGTCATATGTGGCAATATATGCTATGCAAATTGACTTTCTGTGCAAACGTGCTAATGTGCACCAGTCAGAGCTGCCTTTATCACTCAGTGACGAGACTTCAAATCCGGTGGTGTCGTCTGCCATCCGTGCTACAGCCCTGCTTTCCAGTGCTTTCCTAAGAGCTGATTGATCGTGGCACATTTTCTAGTGTTTTAGCCACAATCTTGTGATAGTCGCTATTTGTTAACATATCTCAGTAACTTTTTTGAGAATGCAGTACTATAATTAAAGAAAGAGCAGGGGAAACAAATAACGCTCCACTGAGTTACTAATAATGTCGTAATTCAATGTGGAGGGATTTATGAGTCAATTTTGTTGCTAGTTTTCACAGCACCCAAGCAATTCTGAATTTAAGCCATTTGCAACTTTATGCATCACACATTATTTTATGATTAAAATTGATGATAAACGTGACTAAAGAGTCTGTATGGTGTGGGGTGGGAGGTGGTTCATTGGTAGGGTGACGCTATGTTACCACAATGGCACATTGTGAGACACCAGCCCGTGTAACTTCACTGCAGAAACTCTAACCCACCACTGCCTTCATTTCTTAGCCAACTGTACGATATATTTCCCACCATCCCTCTGAGGTAGCTGTGTGCTGTGTTTGTGAGCCTGGAACTATACAACAAAAGTAGTGGATACTGAGGGGGAAAACCAGTTGATTCCAGTTGATCCCAACTCATGGAGCCTTCAGAGTTGAACTCCACAGCATTTTCAGTGGCTGATTTTTCAGTTTTATTTTTTTGAAAAGTAAAGCGCTGTACCAGTCCTGTGAGTGCGGTCAAGCTTGCAGGTTGTGAACATATAAACATTAATTTCTTAGGAGCTTTGGGGGAAACATTAATAGAGCTTTTGGTGTGGGGAGTTAGATGCTGGAGACAATTTGTTCTAATAATTGAGGAATAGTCATTAAAACAGGAATGTAGATTATGATTGACCCCAAGGAACTCTTATTCAGAACAAACATGCTTGGAGAGCTGCTTTAACCTTGGATGGCAAGGCGTTTGTTTTGTGGTAATTGAATTATCAGTGACTAAATCACCCTGGATAATATAAATGAAAGAGAAATCCAGACCAGCTTTGCTATTGGCTACTTTAGACTTGATTTCATTTACTTTTCATTTACTCACTTCATAAATATGTATTGAGCCCCCACCACATAGCAGGTTCTGTCCTTGACACTGAGGAATTAAAGATGGAGAGAAGAGAATTTGCCCTTAACAAGCTAAGAAATTGTTTGCAAATAAATGCTACAGGTTAAGATAATTCTCAGAATTGGGGCCCTGGCAAGCAGGCTAATGGCAGATTTGCATTTTTAGAAAACGATTCTATCATTCCCCCATCCTAGGAGTAAGGTCAAGGGTAGAGTCAGGGAGACTAGTTAGGGAGTAAGGCTAAAAAAAAAATAAATAAAAATGGCTGTGGACAAGGAGAGGGATGATTCAAGAGCTTTTAAATCTAGCCCATGATTCATTGAGGAGCTCTGATGGGTAAGTGGTAAGAAACTGTGCTGCAATCCTGAAGGCATGTAGTTCAAATCTGCCAGCTGTTCTACTGGAGAAGGATAAGCAATCTCCTTTCATGCGATTAACCGCTTCTGAAAACCTGCTGAAGGATCGGCTATGGGCTGGTACTCTATGGTACTCAACAACAACGACAGCAACCACAACAACTTCATTGAGTGATTAAAAGTGAAATATAAGGAGGAAACAAGGAAGATTTTAGATTTCAAGCATTGGAGTCTAGGTGAATAAATAGATAAAAAGACAAAAGTAATTTTTAAATAGCCGTTTAAAGAGCATTGGGATATCTAGGTCATTCTGTCCACTGGGTCATTGACTGTAAGACTTGAAGGTTGGGAAACACGTCAGGCATGAGTGAAAACTGGGAATTCCAAGATGCCTGCATCTGGATGCTTCAGTGGCCTTGGAGAAAAATGCTTATTACCCCTTGAACAAACAACAAAATGTTTTGGAGGAAGTACAACTAAGTTGCTCAGTAGAGGCAATGATGGTGAAACTTCATTGTCATATACTCTGGACAGGTTATCAGGAGGAGATAAATCTTGGAAAAAGATGTCATGGTAAGAAGGATGGAAAATTAGAGAAAGAGAGGAAGTTTCTCAACAAAGAATTGATGAATTGATCCAATGACAGTGACAAGGACTAGAGCATGTTGGAGATTGTGAAGATGAGGCAGGATAGGGCGAGGCTCAGATGGAGTATTCAGTCTGCCTGCCTTTGAGTTGACAATACAATTCCTTACCGTCAAGCAAACAGATCTTCCTTCTATACATGTGTACATGCTGCTGTTAGGTGCTCTCCAGTCCACAATGACTCATAATGGCCCCATGAATGACAGATCTTTCTCTGATGGGCGATATTTTCTCGGGCATTTTATAGCCTCTGAAAACCCACTGGTGGTCAGCTACGTACCAAATGATGGTACATAACATCTATATAGGGAGCTCTGGTGGTGGTAAAGAATTGTGCTATGAACCCAAACACATTGGTTAGGATCCCCTCACTGCCCTGCAGGAGAAAGATGGGCAATCTCCTGTGGGATTTACAGCCTCCAAAAACCTGCTGGAGGGTCAGCCCTGAGTGGGTTCTGACTGGATGGTGTGTAACAACAGAATATGCGTGATTGTGTTTATGTGAGTTTGTCAATGGAAATGATTCATTCTGCCTTTTGAAATGAAGCGTCATGGACTAGAAGTCCAGAGGTTTGTATGTAGTCAAAGCTTTGAACCTTTTTAAGTGTTCAGAGTCCTTTCTTGTGAGATGCTAACCTATTCTAGCACCTTCCCTAAGGAGCCCCTGCCTCCCACATGCTTTGGCTTGTAATGAGATCCTGAACCAAGCAGTCTGACATAGATACGGATGTCATAAGGCAGGTGCCACATGGTGGGCATCACTGTGTCAACCTGAGCCTCGATTAGCCTTCACTTCCTGTTGCTTCCTGTCATTTTATACACCTCTCTTGAGTTTCTACTTCCTGAACTCCTTGCTGCCGCTGTGTGAAGAGGCCTCTTGATTTATTAATCAATTAATCAGTGCATGCTGAGGAGATCTTCACAGTGGTTAAACAGGGAAAACAAAATGCTGGAGTCCATAATCAAGTTGGGTCATAATAAAGGGACGACCCTTTCTCTCACCAATCATCCTCCTGCCAGTCCAGCTTCCCACACCTGTCACCCACAGGCCTATGAAAGCTGGCATACGATTTCATAAACACAGATTTCTAGAAGACAGTAATCCTGAAATGAATTGCATAAATTCCTCAAAAGTTTATCCAGGCCTTCAAGTGGCAGAGTGTCAGTCCAGAGAAGCAGACATTGGATCCCTCAGTCCTTACCTCCCACAGACGGGCAATCATGGAGCCAGAAGGATCTCACAAATCACAGAGGCCTCTTCATACAGGCAAGAGGTGGAGAAATGATGTAAATTGTCTGAGGTCAAACATCAACTAGTAGTAAAACTGGAACTAGAAATGATCTATTTTAACATCCAATTAACACTCCTACTGCTGTCTCCGTTTGTGTGATTCTGCTGTCCTATAAAAAGAAAGCAAAGAGTAAATGAGAGAAGTCAGCCTCATTACATTCATTCTCGGGTTTCTTTTAAACATGGGCCTCTGAGCTAAAGAATCTTTTTTACAGAAGGTTTAGATGATATAGTGGTTAAAAGTGTCACAGATTTCACCAGCAATGCTCCCAGGGCCGCTTGCAGAATGGGAAGAGAACTTGAAGCACTTGGTGCAGAAGATCAAAGACTACAGCCTTCAATACGGATTACATCTCAACAGCAAAAAGACAAAAATTCTCACCACTGGACCAACAGACAACATCATGATAAAATTTTGACAAGTTTGAAGTTGTCGAAGATTGCATTTTTATTTAAATCCACAGTCAACAACCATGGCAGCAGAGGTCAGGAAATCAAAAGATGCATGGAATTGGGAAAATCTACTATCAAGGGCCTCTCTACAGTACTAGAGGGCATCCAAATCATGATATTTTCATTTGCTCCCAAGCATGAATAAGGAAGATGGAAGAATAGATAGGTGCTGTTGAATTATAGTATTGGCAAGAGTTTTGAAAATACCATGGACTACCAAAAATACAAACGAATCTGGGAAATGCAACCAGCATGCTCCTTAGAGACAAGGATGGGGAAACTTCTCACAGACTTTGAGTATGCTATCAGGAGGACCTCTGCAAGGTACTAAGGAACAACGATGTCAGTCTGGAGATTAAAGTGTGCCTGATACAGGCACATACATAGTCTTTGCAGTTACTTACTATGCATCAGAGAGCTGGACAATGACTAGGAATGATAGAAGGAGAGTTTATGCCTTTGAGCTGTGGTGCTGGAGAAGAGTATTGAATCTACCATGCACTGCTAGGAGAACAAACAGGTTTGTTTTGTTAAGTACTGTCACATTGAAACCAACCCTCCAGCGGTTTTGAGAGGCAGTAAACCACGTGAGAGCAGATTGATTGCCTATCTTTTTCAGGGCAGCTAATGGATACAAACTGCTTACCTTTGTGTTGACAGTACAGTTCCTGCCCACTAAGCCACCAGAGTGTTACATGTGTCAACTATGTCCGCTATAGAGGTTTGTCTGTCTGTCTCATTTCTGGACATCGATCATTGTAGCCATTGGTCATACAGACTCATTGAATGTATCCAGAATTGAACTCATAAACCAGACATGCAAATAGCACATGAGTTATAACCTCTCTGTTTTTCTTCTTGTGTATTCTCAGGATCCTGCTTTCTCGGCTGTGATTCATGACAAGCTCCAGGTCCCCAACACTACGCGGAAGGCATGGAATGACCGGGACAACCGCTGCGACATTTGTGCCACGCACCTGAACCAGCTGAAGCAGGAGGCCATTCAGATGGTGCTGGCACTGGAGCGGGCCGCTGGTGGTGAGCACTACGATGCCTCCCCTGGCTCGCCCCCACCCCTCGCCAACATCCCCACCCTTGTAGGCGCCCGCCACATGGGTGCTGGCCAGCAGCCCCGGGACTGGGCCTTTGTGCCTGGCCCCTGTGCCACCTCCGGCTATACAGGTTTCGTCACCAACAAGCACAGCAGCAAGCCCAACAGCCTTGGCGTGAGCAATGGGGCAGAGAAGAAGGGTGGGTCCCCAACCCACCAGGCCAAGGTCAGCCTCCAGATGGCCACCAGCCCCAGCAACGGGAACATCTTCAATTCAGTGGCCATCCAGGCTCACCAGTACCTCGATGGCACCTGGTCCCTTTCGAGAACCAACGGGGTCACCTTGTACCCCTACCAGGTAAGAAGCCTCAATATGCAAGGAATAGCAGGTTGGCCGGAGTGAAACAGAATAGGTGGCATTACCTGTTTTCACTCTCCTCTCCTGGGAATGCCTCTATCCAGAGCCTAATGCTTCCATGTGTCCACCATAGATCCTTATCAGGGTGCTCCAGCCAGGCCTGCATGCTTTGAGAATGTCCTCCTGTCCCTGCCAGGTTGCCCTCTCTCTGAGGTCCTGCAGGCCCAAGCAATACCAGGATTGCCCAGCCTTGAGTTTCATGGTCAGGTGCGAGCTTTGGTCACACATGGCCAGGAGTTCAGACTCTGGCCTGTCGCTTTACTGTCACTGTGACTTTGCACACACTTGGTCTATCTGTGGTTCAAACTCCTCACTGATAATTGAATAGAATGAGAATTCAGTAAGAAAAGGAATATACAGTGACAAACGTACTGCTTATAATTTTGTTGCTGTTATTATTGTGCCTAATAACAGAAATGAAGACAAATGAATGTGAGAATTTTTTCATTTACATCCAAGGATATTCTGAGTCTCAGAAATTATAATGAAGCTCATGGGTCAAAATGAAATTGGCTAATAATATATGAGGAGTGAATGCTAAAAAAGTCCTTTTACTTCTCTTTCTGCATCTCACCTTAAATACTGCTGGGACTGCATTGCCAGAGGCATTTTCCTCTTTTGTTGCTTTTTTCCCCCTTTTCTGTTATTTGAAATTAGCACATTCCCTGAAGTTTGCCTGTGGAAATAAGAAAGTAGGCCTTATAAAAACATGCTAGAGAATCTGAAAAGTCATCTTACAGTTTCCTGGGTGAGCTTGGGTGCTGGATGACATAGCATCCTATTCCTCGTGCCCTTGCTGTGGAGCCAGGTATGAAACAGCCTACAGAAGAGCGGACCCTCTCTGAAATGAGGAGGAGGTCATGTTCCTGGGAAGGGCTGACCCTCTCTGGGATGAAGAGGTGGTCATGTTCCTGGGAACAGCTGACCTTCTCTGGGATGAAGATGTGGCCATGATTCTGGGTGTAGTCAGAGTGGTAATTGCTGTGATGGGGGATCCTGACAACTCATCCATTTCTCATTTCTCACTCACATCCCAGATATTTGGGTGTTTGGTGGTGGTCTTTGGTGATGTGGGTTCTTCATCTTCTGGGACACATCCCCAGGAGCCTCAGTCCTTTGCTATCTGGGATGTTTCTGCAAGCAGCCAGGAATGAGGAAAGCAGATGTGCAGACGGGCTCACAACAGAATTTGGACTCAGCCTAGAGGGGGCTTTATTTCAATTTCATTCATATTCCAGGGGCAAAGATCAGTGTTTGGGCTCTGCTGGGAAAATCCAGTTCATCCATGTGCTTGGGGGAAAAAAAGAAAAAGAATGATACCAGCTCAACTCCTTGCTGTCGAGTACGAACCAACTCATAGCTGACTGTAAATCACGTGGAGGGTATGGGAGATTGCCCATCTTTCTCCCTCTGAACAGCTAGTGACTTTTAACTGCCTCCTTTTGAGTTGGGAGCTCTGGTAGCTTAGTGATGAAGAATCAAGCTGCCAATGCAAAGGTAAATGGTTCAAATCCACTATCTGCTCTGCAAGAGAAAGATGAGCAGTCACTTGTGATGTACTGCCTCTGAAAACCCACTGGTGGAGGGTCAGCTGTGGGTCGCTTCTGACTCAGTAGTACACAGCCACCACCACTTTTGTGTTCGCAGCACCTCCTTACCCATTGGGCATTAGGATGATTAACAGGGCCCATAAAGGGCATCAATCGTGGCTGATGAAAGTCTTTATGACTTCACTTGAGTGTTTAAGAAGTGAGTATAGATTGCGTATGTCGCTATTTTGGGGGCAGCAAAGGAGAATGTGAAGCATTGATTGTCACCCTCAGATGCTGGGTTTGAGGATTGCCAGGCTTTCTGTCTCCTGGGTGCTCTGTGGTTTATAAACATAGCCTTGCTGGGCAGTCAGGCCATGCTTGATCTTGCTTATGCAAAAGGCATGCATGGCACTGATGCTTAGAGATGAGAAATGGCCTGTGGACACACAGCCAATGACAGAACAAGAGCCAGCTCTCTCCTGTCTGGGGACATAGTGTCCCTTCATCACGTCTGCTCCCAGCTTTCCCTTCTGACCCCAGAGCAGTCTGCCTGCCAACATCACCACATGTAGCTTCTCTGTAAAGCTCAGTTCACCAAAGGAAAAACCTCCTCTTTGTGGTTAAAGGGGCCTCCCCGCCACTTGATTTTCAGCTGGAGGTCTGGGTGGTGTATGGCTCTGGTGGCCTAGTGGGTGAGGAGTTGTGCTGCCAACACAGAAACAGGTGGTTCAAATCCAAGGGAGAAAGATGGGAACCTTCCTCCTGTTGCATTTACTGTCTCTGAAAATGTACTGGAGGATCAGCTATGGGTCAACAGTGTGTTAAGTAGAGGGGTGTGGCATCTAGTCTAATGCCAGAGCAGGATTTTGCAGGAGATGGCTTCCTTTCCCTGTTAAATGACACCCTCCCCCCTCCCCCAATTCAAAGTTGCTTGCAATTTCAAAATAACGCTATTTTTGGATTTAGAAAGATCCATGCATATTCATTGTAAAATAAAGTAAAAATGGATGAGCAAGTTACAACAAAGCTTTCAAAATCTATATCATCTAGAAAGAAACTATGCCACATTTGGCTGTACTTCCTCCCAGGGTTTTGTACACTCACAATTTTTTAAATTGTGATTAGGTTCCTTTCTGTGGCTCATTTCTCACTTAATGTATTAGGTGCCCTTTTCCCCATGCCATTATGTATAGTTTGCTCTCAAATAAGATCTTTAATGGTGGCCCCATCGCCCATTATATGAATGCCTTCTAATTTATATAAGCAAGGCTCCATTACTGGAGTTCAGGCCCCTCACCTGACTGTCTCTAGAAATAAAATGCTCTGGTGAACATCCTTCTCTCCGGATCAGATTTTCACTGCATCCCTGGCCTGTGCTAGCCACACACTCCTGCTCCACAGAACATTTGACATCTCACCTTCCACCGCCCAGAGCATTTGCAGTGAGTCCCAGCTGTTGGCGAGGAGACCCAGCCGCTCCACCAGCAACAGAGCAGTGAGCAGGGGTGAGAGAAATTGCACTGAGGCTGCACAGGGCTTCGTCCCGGGGTGAGGAAAGTGAGAGATGGGAAGCAGGAAGCACTGTGGGAAAGGAGCAGGAGGAGTAGGGTCTGTGGATACATTTCTTCAGTGTGTGTGTTTGTTCTTCCTGCTGACCTTCTTCCTCCCCTGCTCATGGAAGGAAATTGCCCATACGATAGCAGATGCTCAGGGAGAGTGAGGCAGGGGCCGTGGTGGTCCATGCGCTGAGCCCTGATCTCTCGCTGGGCTTGTGTGCTCTGATGTGGAACTGGATGGATGTAGTGCAGTGTCCTGACCAACACTAGGAAGCAAGGTCTCCTCGGGGAAAATGAGCCTGTGGGAAGCCTCTGTCCCCCACCAGCCAGGTCTTGTATGCAGGGTCGCAATGAGTGGTGGGCTGCCTTGACTACAGCATACCCCACCCCCCACGTGCCAGGTACTTGGCGAGGCTCTGAGTTGTTGAATCGGGTTGATGCATTGCTCACTATAGAGGAGGAGACAGGTAAGCTGAGCATTAGAGGTATGCTGTTGTTGTTATATACTGTTCAATTGGAACCGACCCATAGCTGACCCTCCAGTGGGTTTTCAGAGGCAGTAAATCACATGAGAGGAGACTGCCTATCGTTCTCCCACAGAGCGGCTGGTAGATTGGAACTCTGTGCCTTAGGGTTGACAGCACAATTTCTGGCCCCTCAGCCACCAGCACTCCTCCTCGAGGTAGGAGGTGAGTGCAGAGGTGAAGAGGTTCTAGGGGTTCTGTGAAAGCACACAGAAGGTGATGAATTGAGTGGTCAGTGGTGAATTGAGGGAGGATTTGGAACCTTTAAGCAGATGCAAAGGTGATGTACACAAACCCATAATCTGAGATTGCATTCAGTACATTTTATTGCTTCTTTCCACCTTCACGGAAATTCGTGAATTTCCCCACAGTAATAATAGTTAAAGGGACCAGAGGCAATCTCTCTGGGATAAAGAGATTTGGTGTCTGGCTGGGAAGCTGCCTTTATGCCATGACTTTGTCATCCTGATGCCCTGATAGGGAGGCCCTGACTCTGGCCAGACTGGGTGTCTCCTGCTGTGGGCATCTCTCCGTCGTAAATATCCCCCAGTTCAGTCTGGCCAGCTTGTCAGCGATGGTTGACTGCCCTGTAAGCTGACCTCATCCATCCTGCCCGCCCACATCCCATGGCCCTCTTCATGGAGCAAAGGCCTCTGGATTCCTGCCAGGGCTGTTTCCTGGGAAGAGAAGCTTCTAGACTGTTTTCCCACCATGGGTGCTGCTCCACAGCCAGAACTGGGAGCTGTAGAAATGAGATGAAGAGGGTGCTGGCCTTTGGCTCCTTGGGTGCAGTGAGGGTGAAAAAAGTGAAGAGGGGCTGCCAGCTCTGAGTGCGGTGAACTGTGGGGGTGACAGAGAAAAACTCAAGAACACCAGCTTTCCCTCATGATGCCCACGCTGTTGTTGTTGTGTGCCATTAAGTCAGAACCTACCCAGAGCCCATGCTCCAGCAGGTTTTCAGAGGCAGTAAATCACCTGGGTAGATTTACTCTCTCTTGTAGAGCAGCTGGTAGATTCAGACTATCTGGCTTCAGGTCGATAGTGCAGCCCTTTACCATTAGGCCGCTGTTGCTGTTGGGTACCTTCAAGTTTGAACCAACAAAGACAGTAAATGACACAGGAGAGGATTGCCATCTTTCTCCTGTGGAGCAGCTGGTAGATTTGAACCGCATGCCTTCAGATTGGCAGCACGGCTCCTTACCACTAGGCCACCAGAGCTCCCTTTGTCTCTGATGGGTTTGTTAACCAGAAGCAGGTCATCTGCTATGACTAGAGCCTGGAGCTGAGGGGCACATGTCCCTTCCTGGCTGAGCCACTCTTTGAGAAGG